GCACACAGAAGGACTCATCACACCCCCAGGCAAATCCAGCAGGCTTGAGCAGCATCACACCGCTAGCATGGTCAGCAGTGCTTGTAACAGACAGTTGTGCATTTTACGTGACCCCCACTGCACACAGAGGTGATGACACCAAATCTGAAATGCAATGGGGTCAGGGAAACACAGGAGCTATTTAACTGAAGACTGGTGAGTAGCTGTGTCTTTCAAGGAGCAGGGATCAGAATTAGCTTTTGTGTTCTCTCATCTCTGCATGCACACTATACAATCTCCCCTAGGGCAAACCTATACTGCTGGCGGGAGGAGAGCTCACTGCCACCGACAGAGCTCCCCACATACCTACATCTGATTTGTGAGCAGCAGTGGGCACCATGCTGGGACTGGCCTGACAAAACACGCAGCACCCTGGTACCCCCCTTAGGATGACCCCAGCAGGCTCTGCCCTCTCTGAGAGGGATGAGAGACAAAGACTTTCTGTCCCCACATACCCAGCGGGGGGAGTGGGGCTGCTCTGCAGGCTGGCACCCACCCTCTCCACGCACAGACACTGCCCTGTGCTTCTGCTGCAGCTGCGGCTCATGCATAGCCCTCCCTGGGCACGGGCACCAGCCATTGTCCAGAGGTCTTAAAAGAAGCATTCAAATATATAATATTTATCCCATTGATTTATTTTTTTATTTTTATTTTTTAATCTGTTTATTCAACTGCCTTTTCAGTTCTTTCCCCCACTCAGCTCTTGAGCACTATGGCCACAGATGTTTGAACAGTGGCTGCTCTGCACTTGGAGCAGTTCACCAGGGTGACTGTTCCGAAGGAAAAAGAGCTGCAGGCACAGATCAGGACCAGTGGCTTAGAATAGAAAACGTCTGAGCTGCATTATTAGAGCGGCCACTGCTGGTTAGCAGTGGTGACAGCCGAACGCGTGGAGCCCCCCCAGAGGCCTGTTGAAGGCAGGTGACACCGTGCCTCCCAGCCAGCGGCTGTGCTGGTGAGGTAGGAGGGTACCTGTGTGTGCCAGCGTGGCACAAAGGACTCAGAGCTGCTGCACATCTCTCTTTTGGGACAAGCTCCCACTACAGATCCCAGAGCCACCCCAGGAGCCCAGCCTGCACAGCCACCATGCTCAACTCTGCCCGCTGGGAAACCTGCACCAACTCCAGCAACTGCACGCAGCTGCAGCAGATGAAGGTACCTGCGGAGCCTACCTGGCCACTCCAAAGAGAATCCCTTGTCTTGGGCTTGCTTTCTGATTGCTCTTACCCTAAGCGTTAACACTGCAAGGTTTACCGTGCACTGAAAATGACCCCTGGAGGAGAAGAAAGTAGGGAAAATGACAGAAGTTTTACTAAAGTTTTCAGGAGGGTGAGGAAGGCTGACAGCATAACATCTAACAAGCCTTTGTTTCTCACTGTCTAGGGTGCCATCTGACATAGCCATGACCATGCATGACAAACAATATTCAGTAGCACAGGAACTTATGACTTCAGCCAGAATTCCTCTATTGTGCCTAGAAAATTGGCCAAAGTAGGGGGACAGATTCATATAAAAGCACAAACGGATTTTGAGCTAACAGCCATTGACATAACACTAACACATCAGCAGGCTGGAATGCAGTAAACATGCAAGATATATTCTCTGCCAGGGACCGATGATGTTCTTAGCTACAGCACCAGTTCCCTTCCTGGCTATTCCACATTAAGGGAGAATAAAAAAGACCAGCAAGAATAAGAGAGTTCAGAAAGTTTTGTCTTGTGAATTTGACTGAACAAGATGAAATACAACATTATGATAAAGCCAACACTGAACAATTCTTCTGCAGACTATGTAGTGAAGACTGAATATCGCTTTAACTTGCAGATAAGCATTGTTAGCAATAAACAAACTTTAAGCATAAAAACGGCTCAACACTAGAACTGATTACCTGCAAAGGTAATTATCTGGCATCCTTTGAGGTTTGACAAGAACCCATTAAACGTAGCTGCCTCACTAGAATCTGTTGCATACAAAGGTGAACAGACCTCCCAAGCTCTTACCAGCCCTCCAATCTTTTATCACAGCTCTGTGTTTCCACATTAACTGCAATAATTCTCTCTTATTATTGTCGCTGAAGTCTAGAGAGAAGCAATATAACATGACAGTTTTCTCCTGTATATTTCCTGCCATTCAAAAAAATCTCAAGTTTATTTATTAACTTATTGCTAAATTACAAGGGCCTATGGATCAGCTGGATGGGAGTAAGATTCCAAACCAAATCTGCCATGGATGAAGATATTTTATAAGAATCCCTGTACTACACCAATAGTACCAATAAGTACAGTTAATCCTGCTAGGTGACTCTCAAGGGACTTCTCAAACCATTTTTTCAAATTCCCTTCAAAAACACCATTATGAAGTTATCTTCTATTTATTCATTATCTCCTATCCATGTTTTCTTCTAGCCCTACCCCAATACTTTGATCTCAGGGCAACGCGGAAAAATCCAGACCGTTGTATCAGCAGTCCCAATGAGTATAGTTCAGAATAGGTAAAATATTAATAATGCCATCTCCCAGAAAAGCCATGAAATGACTAATTTAATAGAAGTGCCAGATACCAGCTAAGAGGGCAGTAACTGCAACCATGATGATAACGTAATAAAGACAGTAGAGAGGTTAACTAATGAGACAGACCCAGATAATGCCTTGTAGTAATTGTATAGCAAAGACTTTGTTTTCCATTTCTGCAGCTGTGATTCATGAGGGTTGTTTGTTTTGTGTGTGCGTGTTTTTTTTTTCCTTGCCCACTTGTTATTCTCTAACATGAGTCACATTTGTACTATTTCTCCCTTATCTGCATTTGACAACAGCTAAGATTAAGCATGGCAGGGTTTCCAAACCCTTCATTATCAGTGGTGGCTACTCCTTGATTGTACTGCACAGAGAAGTCTGCTTTACCCTTCATGTGCATCTCAGTTTCGGGTATATTAGAAGTCTCTTATTTGTATTTTTTCTATTTTCCAAACAAGTAAAGGTCTATCCCCAGTACATTGTGACACTGTCTCCCTCCTACCACACAAATAAAAAGAAAACTAGCTGGTATAAAAGTTCCCTATTAACAATCACAAACTTTGTGCTTGCACTTCTACTAATCATAATGTATTACCCCCCCCCTAACTTTTTTTTTTCTAGTAAGCTCTTTGATTTAGTCGCTCCAAGTTATTTGTACAAATAAAGAACGTGCAGGCATGAGATGCAGAGTAATGTCACACTCATGGTAAATTATTCAAATCAAGAAAAAAATGAGATTTGTTGGTGCGGAGCAAACACTAGGTTTATTGCTGGCATCAATACTGCTTGTGATTCCAGACCTCCTACCAGCTCAACCAATGTCAACCCAATTGGAAAAAGTTTGGAAGTTACTGAAGATGTATGCAAGTTGTTGGTCTGACTGTCAAATGAATAATGCAGTTAAAGATCTCCTAAGCACATTAACAGGTTTTAAGGTTAAGAATTAAATGTTATGTCTAAACTTCAGTTGAAGCATTCAAAAGAATTAGTATTTCTACAGAAAAGCCAACTTTCCAAAACTGTGCTCAGAAAAGAACACAGAAATACATTCCTATTTAAGTTCTGGAAGATAAGCATATGTATGACTAAAAGTTTGACAATTTTGACCTCAGAACTCATTTCCCATCTTTGTGCTTGCTTCCTCATCTGCAGGAAAGGATATTGTTTTTGTAATTCAAAGGCATTTTTCCTGAAAGTTACTTAGCTAAGGATTTAAACAATCTTTGATATCCTTGGGTTGAACATGTTGCAAAAATAACAAACAAAAAAAAAGACAGTTTTTGAAAAAAAAATAAAAATAAAAGCAGCAGTTATTTTGATCAGTGTATTTTTATTTATTCTGAATTCCCCCCCTTCCAAGAGACACTCCCCCACATAGGTGCAGATCAACAGCCTCATTTATACACCAATTTATTTCACAGGAATCTTTTAAGTAAATAACTGATAATAACATGGTGTCAAGTAGTCATTGCAATCACACAGGACAGCACATGGCGCGCCGCTCAGAAAGGAAAAGGGCTCTTGACAGAGGTATCTATCCTACATACGCTGCATTAAAGCTGAAACATCTTTCAGACGTTCAGACGTAGTGTTTTACCAAACACCACAGAGAAATATCTAATTCAACCATCAAAACTGAAGACTTCTGAAATACTCCAGTGTGTGAAACACAGAATGCATTTCAAGCCACCCATAAAAATAGTTTCACTTGACAACAGTTATTTACAAAAAGCAACATTAGGAACTCTTCTTAGGACCAAAATGCAAATACCCACAAACCCTGCCCCTTTTCTCTATTATCCAAGCCTTTCACAACAAGGAATTCAATACTTAAATATTAAGAATACTCTTGACAAATTTTCAAGGAGGAAAAAAAAAAAAAGAGTTTAAAGACTTAAATTGGCACTGACTCCCTCATCTGAGGGGTTAAAGATCCCTATAGAACCAATTGGAGAATATTTATGATTAAGTCCACTTTCTGGTACCCTGAGCAAAGACAGCTTCTTCAAGCACAAGACAGCACACAACGTCCACAGAGCAACATTGGCCAATATCTATGTGTAGCTTAAAACGGGATTTGACTCCTAATTTCTTCTTAGTACCTTGGGTATGGGTAGCACCACGTAAAGAGGGACTTGTCAGTGACTGGGTTTATCTCCCCATACTAACTATGGCGAGGGCAAGTGACAGAAAGTGCTGTGACTAGGTCTAGGAAAAGTAACATTGATCCTGCAGCTCTGTTGGGAACTAACTAGATGCTTCACAGAACTGCTGATCGTTCACACGCAGCACATGTGCATGCAGTCATATCACACCAGATTATACATTAGCATGAAAAAGGACTCCCTATGCGAGAAGCGTCACTGAAATCTCAGCGAGATGTAGACCTGATACTTTGCATTCCTGCCCACCAAACACCAAGTTCAAGCACTGTCGTAACACCCCATTTATCCCAAAGAGCTGCACAGCTGTTTTGCTGAGACCTGAGAACAGGCTTTACCGAATGAATGAAATAGCACAGACAACCAAATGCAGAAACTGCAGGAAATGATTTTTTAATTTTCTTGGAAATATACAGATGAATTAAGAACCCCAGTTACAAACTCCATAAACTTGTAAAGCAATAGTTAGAAAGTCTTCCCTTAAGCCAGACCTGCTGCTTGCTAGTTTGCAAAATTAGCGCAGACTTGATAGTAAAACAAGTATTCACAGAAACAATCATTTTCTGCTAAGCCTCCGAACGCCTTTTAAGCTTTCTGCCGCCGTTTGAGCCTTCTCCTGCGATCAGCAGCACCGGTAACAGCCGCTCCCGCTGCCGGCGGCCAGAAGCCGGTTTCTGCCGCCGCGCCCCCCCCGCGCCGCCCCGGGCAGCCGGTACCTTCCGTGTGGCAGCTGCAGGACAGGATGGAGGTGGCAGGCCTGAAGATGTACGACAGGTAACGAGAAAAGCATTTCATCTTCCGGAAACGGTAATTAAAAAAGGGTAATAACACCATGTAAGGCTAAAAAAGGAAATCACTACAAATAAAAGGAAAACTTGCGGCAAGCCCGCCTCAAGCCATGAGGATCGTTCCGGTTTGCAGACGGCCTACATGGCGCGGGCAGGGGCTCGGGCTCGGGCTCGCCGCGGCGGCTGCCCGGCGGGGAGAGGGCCCCGCGCTGCCGGCCCGGCGGAGCCGCCGCGGCCCCGGCCCCGGCCCCGAGGCGGAGCGGCGCGGCGCGGAGCGGGGCCGCGCTGCTGACTCAGCCCGGCCGGGCGGCTGCCCCCGCTCGGCCCCGCGCGGCTGCCCCGCGGCGTCCCGCAGCGCCCCGCCGGCCGCCGCTCGGGGCCCGCTCTCGGGCGCATCCCCGCCGAGGCTGCGGGCGCTCCGGAGCGGGCGGCCGGGGGAGCCCGGGGCCGTCTGCGCTGCTCGGCGCCGCGGCTCGCCCCGTGCAGGAGCGAAGCCCAGCCGAGCGATTCCCGCACCCGGGGATTTCCACGGCAACGCCGCTTACCGAGGACGCGTTGCCCCGGCGGGTCAGAGCAGCCCGAGCCCGGCAGCTTCACAAGTCTCGCTCAGCCCTCCCGCACTCCTAACGTATTCTGAGAGCAGGGAGTGACCAGAAGATGCGAAAGAAAAGAAACGCAAAAACCCAACACCACGCTTCTAAGCCACAGAATGCCAGCTGAGCCGTACAATAAAAATAGCTTTTACTATATTCTGGACTTTTCTGCAGCAGTGCCATAACCCACACTCCCCAGTACCCAGTCAGACTTGCACTGTTTAAGTGAAGGAGTTTTAAATCAATCTTTCTCATGTTTTCTGCAGCTGCAACACGGTTTTTAAGGCAGAAATATTTCACAGCTGAGTGCACTCCAAACTCAGCACCCACTCTGGAGCAGCCTGCTCGGGTGCACGTAGTGGAAAATATCACGATATCAAGAGGGCAGCCTGGAAGGACATAACATGATAGTTCCTGATGCTCAAGTATCTTGTTTTTCTGATGTTTAATTACTCTATGGACAAGTATTTTGTTTTAGGACCAAATCACTCAACACTGTTGCCTTGTGGAGCACTGAGTCAGTTTGCTGTTTGGTTTCATCATCCCACTGCAGTCTAATCTTGCTGTCATTATCAGATGACAGCACAACTGTGTTTTTACTGGAGAGATGCAAAGCACCTGTGGCAGTGAAGAGAGAAGCTTTTCATTTCACTTTAATCTCTTTATTCAAAATACCCTCTCTGGACTTGTAAGGAAAACTGCAGGTCTGGGCTGCAAGCCATGCAAAGCCTTCCTGCTTAGGGAGGAGAGCTCACTGCAGTTGCATCACGCAAAAGTGAAGGCTGCAGATTAACTACTATTGTGAATCACAAGTCCATTCCAGCAAACAGGTATGAAGGTAAAAGAGATAGGATTTTATAAAGCATTCTTCATGGCAGCAGCTACCTTTATATGTTTGTACATGTTCCTCACAGTCACAGTACTGAGCTCGTGTAACTTGCTATGGTAGCAGAGGCATAGAAGTTTATTCCACCCCTGGAACTTAATTAAATAAATTGTGTGGTATTGACCTGTCTCCTCTTTCAGGAAGGGAGAATAAAAATGACTGCCAGTCCAAATCCCTCAACTGACCAGAAAGGGGCTCTCTTTGCCTCTGTGCTTAAGAGCCCAGAAAGATTTGTCCTAGCTCTGCTTCCTTGGTCACTCTCAGAGGTTCAGGAGGAGGACTACATTTCTTCCTAAAACCCTGTATCTCTCCTCTCTTTATGTCTGTCTTTTTAACTGTATCTATCTATCTATATGTGTATGTATATATATATATATATGGATACACACACATATACATAATCCTTGTAGTTTCTGTCTCTACCATCTAGTTATGCAAGGAGATACATTGCAGTCAGAGGTTATTCCAGAGGCTCTGGAATAAGTTCTGTCCACACAGAGCTGTGCATTGACTTGCTTAAGGTTTACTCAGAAACTCAGAATCAGCTTGAAATAGAAGCCATATCCGAGACCTACATGTAGGATTGAAGTCTGTAAATGCTACGCCTCTCTTCCATATTGATGTAAATAGCTCCCATTGTATGACAGGAAAAAAAATATTTTTCCACTTGAAAGTAGATATGAACATTCCCCAAGAAACAGATTAATTCCACCTCATTAAAATCATGTACAGAAGAAGGGCAATCATTATTGTGGCTTTGATCTATTTAAATATTTATAGTCAGTTTTTATGTTCCATTAACACACTGAGTTTCATTTCACATGCAAAAACCAGGATATTTATTCAAGCTCAATTAGCAAGCAACACAGAAATGAAACCACAATGTAAGAACACAAGCGAGGCTCTGAATCAGCTTGGTGAGCCCGCTAACAGTCATGCAACACTTAGATCTTTCATTTGGAGCTATTGTTTATACCTTTGGATGATATGGCAAACACAGACAATTGGAAGCAGATGTAATAAAAATCTCAGGTGCACTGGAAATGGCTGTTGGTCACAGCAGCTTGCTAGGACCTGATGATATTCCAACTGTAAAATATTCAAGACACCAGGTAAAACATCTGACTACAGTAGGATCATTTTAATTTAGCCATTACTGTTTATGTGGCATTTCTCCACTTGATAACTTTGCTGTATATATGTTTTACACCTGAATAACTTAATATGACAAAGATTGAAGTGCTGAATGCCTGCATGCCAGTCATAAAGCCTGCACCAACCGTATGGTTGTATTCTCACAACAGTGGTAGTTCTACACTGCATATCTTGAGGCTCAAGCGAACTAGAGGAAATTTGACCTCTTAAATTTGCACAAATCTGGTGTCTACACCTGATTGCTAATTATCATTACATCAAAATAAGGCAAGATCTCTAAAATTGGTTTCCTGTTAGTAGTAATGAAATATAGTCAAAGCAGTGTGGCACACCAAAGAGAATCAGCAGCATCATTTACTTCACATTTAACATTGAAAGCACTGTGTTTGTTAGAGCAGCTGAAAGATGTCCCAGGCCTCCCATCTATGCATAAAAGATCTCATTCATCCAGACAGTTGTGTTAGAGAGTTAAAGAATCCATTAAATCACTGGTTTCATCAGGACAAGCACTACACATTATGATACCATATTCAAAGACAAGGAAAGCAATAAACAAGAAAAGAACAAAATTATAAAGTTTGTGGGTATCTCTGTTTGTGTAGGCTTATGTGTGCATGGAAAAGAGCAAGCATACAGAATTATTCTCTGCAACATTTTAAAGGCAGAATGACACTGCATCCAGCTGAAGTAGGCAGGCTTTTCTAAATTTAAAGATGCAGAACACCATAAACATAATAGTAGCATCTCCTTTCAACTTACTGTACACAGCTTCAGGCATTCCAATAATTAATTAAATTGTAAATTCAGGATGCTTGGATGTTAACCAGAGTCCTGAAAGTCAGAAATGTGCCATAAACACTAGCATAAAGCTAACAAGTTAAATACAAACTTCTGGTAAAGTGGAGGCATCTGTGATATCAACATACATTTATGGTACAATTTATGTATATGTACATCTGTACACATACATGCCCATATTGTCATACAAACACAAACAAAAATGGCATAACAGCTGAAAACTCAAACCCATATATAAAATGTTCTCCAGAACTTTCTGCTCAGTCACAGTGAGGCCATTTGTACATGTTGATGAGATCTGAAAGACCAATTTGACCACTTTTTCCTTATGGGTTTCACTGAATATAGCCTTTAAAGTATTATCTATCAGCCTCTTCTGTTCTGTGACTCCAAGATACCCCAAGAAAAAATTGCAGGAGCCTTTCCTTGCCATCATGTCTCTGGATTTCTTCAGCTTATAGCCTGTAGTTGATAACTGCTCTGCACATAGGAAGACTGAATTTCACCATTGTTTATCTGGCCACTCTACAGCACAAAACCATTGCCTGTACTGGGAGGGTTAGGAGAAGAGGGATGTGATAGAGAATCACATCTATGAGGGTTAAAGTACATACAGGGAACAAAATGTGAAATGGGGGGAGGAATAAATTAATGGGTTAACAATCAATGCTGTAAAAGAATGGAAGATGAAAATAAGAACATGTAGGAAAATACCCAGCATGAAGCTAAACACAGAGGAGTGGTCCTATAGGAGGAACAGAATAACATGAAAATATTCAACTTTAAGGGCAGGAAAATTGAATGGATTTATTTCTTATCAATTGTCCATATTTTTTGCAATCCACATGTTGGCTAAACACAGAATGGTTACGCTTGCAGAAAGAGAAATGTCTAAGTGATTTAGGAACACAAACCACCCTGAATGTTTCTGGGTGTGAAGGGGGATGTCTTGGACTCATAAATCCCCCAACCACCTGTGCTAATTCCTCCTACATAGATATCTATCTGTGTAAGTGTGCACAGTGCAATTTATTTTAACTCCCAATACAAGAATGAGCAGCAAGTTAATACTTATGTCACCCAGAAACAGAACCCAACTGATTCCTATAAAGGATGTTATGGTGGGAGAGGCGGTCTCATAATTCCCTGAAACATTCATGTAAATAAAAGCTCAAAGCCAAGGAAAAGTTATTTTAAAGATTATTGATACTGTTAAATCAAAATGCCTTCAAACAAATATTTCAAGCAATAGCTAATATTAGTTATTCATCTCTTTAAATGCACAAATACATAATGAAAGCAGAAGAGAAAAAAACTGTAACTTATCTCTTTGCCAGCAGTTTCACCCAACAGCATGCATACAAACACCCTGAACATTGATTGAGGCAAGAAGTACATGACAGACAAGGTTTTCTGATCACGGCAACAAAAAAGGAAAAATAAACCTACCTTCTGTCACTCCGATATCAATAGTTCCTTTTACTTGACTAAAGCACCACAGTACATCCTGCATGAAGTTTTCAAATCCTGCCAAGGAAACATGCAGAAAGAAGA